ACTAAAACTAAAGTTTCAATGACAATGAATTATTCATTAAACAGGCATCAAACAATCAAATTACCAACTCACATGGCTAATATTTCAAAGTCTAAAAGGCTCAAGGCACTCAAGTTGTCAATATGAGTGTGATTCAAAAGCCACTTGAGAAAACTAACTAAAATGGGGGTAGCCTATGAGGGTTGAATTTGGAGGGATATGGGTTTATGGACCCTAGCCACTGGACTAGCTATGAGTAAATGAAATATGATACATGTATTGATGTACCTATTTCTATAAGATTATGAAAATAATTCTATCAACCTTATGAGCAAACTATATATGATTGTCTTCAGTCTGTATTCGGTTCCATATAATAATTTTGAAAATGTTCTGTCAGTTAAAGAAATCTATTCACTATTTACTCAGGGGACATATTCTAGAACCAATTTTAAATCTACAAATTACTCATGCTCTTCTGCATAGTGAGTTTATGAAGCAGTTTATTGTGTCTTTTAAACAGGAGTATTTTTTATTCTTCTGTCAAAACCTAAATTCACAAATGACTAGAAACCAAGATAATATTTTGATTACCTTATAAGAGTTTAAATCAAAATGACAGGCATTGGAATTTATTTTGCCTTAGATGTTATTTCTAAATATGTCAATTTTTAAAGCAATAAAAATAAAGTATTTTTACCATATACACATTATTTTTTATGTCAAATTGGAAAGTGTCCAAATTTTTCCAAAATTTCCAATCTGCTCTAAGACATGAAAAGATCAGGAACATGTACATAAAAAAGAACATTGCTTTAAAAAGTATGTGTGCTAAAAATACACCTGAAATGACAGCCTCTGACTCTTTCAAAAGGTTAAACTACAGTTAGTGGGTTAATTTAAAATATATATCAAAAATTAGTAAGTTAAATGACATTCAGTTAACCAAGCAATCTGTATTTATTAAGAACATACTATTTGTGTTAACTCAAGTGTGCTTTATATCTCCACTAGGTTTCTAAATTAGCCACCCCACAACCTGTATCACTTCTTTTTGTTTCATCCTTTATATTATTATAGCCTGTTACTACTGGAACTCAAATCAGATTATTTCATTTTCTTGCTTAAAAACCTTTAGGTTTCCATTAGTAAGCACGTCTTTGCCATTCCTCACCTCTATCTTTTGCTTCTCAAATAAGTCACATGTCAAGCCTTACTGTATTCCCATTTCTTACTTGTTCACACACATCGTTGGGGAAATTTTGCCCCGTCAACCATGAACATCTCCCCCCATGACACCCTCTTCTCCTGGTTAATTCTTATTTGTGTGTCTGATTTATTTGTCTCTGTTCAAGTTTTCCTAATACAAAATAATAAATATAATGATTAAAAGAATCTGAGTGATTCATGTATGTTCTGTACTTGTAAAAATTAAAAAAAATTATCATGTTAGTTATATATAAAATATAAAGCCAAGCCATTCAGCCAAATATCTCATTAAAAATGTTTTAAAGAAATAATTAACTGAAGTGGCATCACTAGTAAATGAGAACATTTTAAAAAGAGGTCTGACTACTTTGAAAATCATGGTATATATTTGATATGCCTTCTGCAGACAAAGGACATAAAATATAATTAGAAGAATAAGAAATGGAATCATAGAACAACTACTTGGTACAGCAATATATTATTAAACAATAGTATATATGACATAGCCAATTCCCAACTTTAAGAACAGGTATCAAATAGGAAATCATAAGGTACTAATTATAAATAAAAATGCAGTGAGTTCTATTAGTGAAACAAATGCTCAGTATGGACTGATTTTATCAGAGAGACTGGTTTGGGGTATTAAGAAATGCATAGAATATGGCCGAGCACAAATTTTGAAAAGAGAAAAAAAATCCAAAGGAAAGGCCAAATTACCTTAAAATATACGAATATATATTTAGAGCTATATCATAGTCACTTGAAAAGAGCTTAATGGCCGAAAGCAATTAATTTTTTTTTCAAATATTTGTTTAATTCAGGAACAAAGTTAAAACTGGTAACTGTTTCAATAAACTTAACAGGTCAGGTCAGTCAAAATGCTCATTTAAAGATTGGTGGTTGCTAGGGCCTGGGACGGGGGTTGTGGGGATGGCAATTGGGAGATGTTGATTAAAGGGTACCAGTTACAAAATGAATAAGTCCTGGGGATCTAATGTACAACATGGTAATTATAGCTAACAATACTGTATTGTATAGTGTACTTGAAAGTTCCTAAGAGAGTAGGTCTTAAAATGTCCTTAACAGGAAAAAAGAAAAAAAGAAAGAAAACTTTGTGAGATGATGGATGTGTTAACTAAATTTATGTGTCAATAATTCACAATATATACATATATTAAATCATCACAGTGTATACCTTAGACTTACATGCTATTATCTATCAATTATATCTCAATAAAGCTGGAAAATATGATCATTAAAAGATAAATTCAGTATGCCAATGACAAAATAAGTAAAAGGAACACTAAATATGTGCTTTACATGAAATAATGTCAGACTTGAGCTAATTAAAGCGTAATTACTGGCATAAAAATGAATACAATGATTTCATACACTATACAAATGACACAAATAGCAAATGCTTACTAGAATAACCATGTTTTGTGAATTACTAAGCACTCACTATTTTTTATTTTATACCTTTAGTGTTGACTTTCCAAAACATTTTAGTGTATTATTTTAGGGACAAATGACAAGGAGATTAATTTTAAGTGGCAAACAGATGAGAACTATAAAGAAAAAAAAGTAATTTTTACATTATATTGCAAAAAATGAACTGTACTAGCAATTTGTAGAAGGAAAAAACTATGAAGAAAAAAACTGTGGACTCTTCTTTTACCTACAGATTGTGTCTGATGAATCACTATAGATATTTCTAACTTTCCTTATCTATAACTTTCAGAGCTTTTATATATATATATGTAGGTATATATGCACACACACACACACACACACACACACACTAACACAAAGGTATATAGTTTCTTTTTATAGAACTTACTCATATAAAAAATTAGGGGGATCCTAGTCTGGTCATTAACGAAATGTTTTGCAGTGAATATTTATACACTCTGCTTAAAATTGCTTAGATAACTTACACATATTCCACAGTACGTCTTATCGTTTTTGAATATATTTTCTCTTTTGTACTTTAAAACAGCCCCTATGGCTGATAGCACTCAGCAAGAGTAAGGTCACTAAGGGAATAAATGGTACTGTCCACAAAAAAAAATGTGTCCAATTAAGTCTTCTAACTCTTAAAATAGGGGAAATAAAGTTCTCTCTTTTCCATGCCTCAAAAACCTTTCATTTCCCCAATGAAAAAAAAAAAACTGAGAAAGAACTACATAGACAAAAATAATTTAGTAAAAGTCACTGACAGATAAAAGAAAAAACTTAACATTTGATGGTATGGCTGTTATTTCAAAACTTTATCTCTTCAACTCCTCTAGAATTATAAGATTCAAAATAAAACACTTGAGGTAAGGAGAACTCAACTTATGAATTCACATTAGAATCTGCTATTCAAACTTAATAAATAATAAAAAAAATCACAGTATATTTTCCTAATAGAGCCTCACCCAATTGTGACAGTGAATAAAGGAACTAGAACTCATGATGTCTCCCAATAAATAGCTTCTAGAATTGAGAATTGGATCAAGGAAACAATAAATTTGAGAGGGCAGAAGCAAATTGGATTCTTGTTTGTAAATGCATGAACTTTAGCAATATAAGATGCACACTATGTTCTTATTTTAATTATATATGTACACCTGTCCATATAGGCATTTAAGAAGAATGTTTCACTAATACGGTTGTACTTCTAAGTATGAAAATACAGCCATATCGTAATTACTGTATAGTATTCAGTCTAATTCAAATAGACAATTTCATGTTTACTAATATCAGTCAAATGGAATTCAAACTGAATTTAATTCTTAGTTTCAACTCAAGTGAACATTGCTCTAATCCTCCAAAAAACGTTTCATAAATATTTGGTATTGGTACATGTACATTTCTCAGACTAGAAATTAATGTCCAGTCTTCTCATCAATTAATTAATTGTCTATCATTAGAAGTGAGCAATAGAATGCTTCATCTTCAGCTAAAATGTTATTGCCGTAGAAGAGTTCAGTGCATGCCTGAGTTCTCAAGGCCTAGTAGACCTGTTTGCTATGGAAAGGCATTTTTTTCCCCAGTGTTTCTGGGCACAGTGACAGCAAACAGAGGGAGGCCTTCCCTTCTTAATAAATTTTGTTTGACAGTTCTCTTGTGCTGAGTATGGTCATATGGTGCATAGTCCTGGCTGGCTGTGTCTGAAATAATAGACCATGTGGATTCAAAGCCTAACTTAAATGTGCTGCCATTTTATTTTTGGCAAGAGAGAGAATTTAAATGAAATGTCAGTCAGGTTTTCATGTTTTCCTCTGCGGCTGCAAGCTTCAGCTAAAAATTCTCCACCCTATGTATATCATCTAGGTTTTTATGGATCCCATAAACCAAATTCCAATATTTTAATTTTTTCTAATATTTTAGGGCCCCTTATGTATAAAAAAGCTGTGGTGGTGAGTGCCACTTCTAATTAATATAAATGACATGAATTCCCCCATCCAGTTCTCTTTTCAGTTTCTACAAAATAGCCTCCAACTCCTAAGAAAATTCTTGTTTATTAAAAAGATATATATGTATGTGCTTCTCACATTTTTCTACTATAGGTTCTAGTATCTAAATTTCCTACGTGAATGACAGATGCCAATATAGTAGAGGCCAATGGACTTTTTAAACAATCAACCAAATTTGGTCTCTGCAATTAACATACAATTAACGCATTTGTTTAATAGACCTACGTGTATATCTTAGAGTAATTTAAACATATAGAATATACTTTTGTTTTCACTTATCTAAAAAAATGTTGAAATCTTTCATGCAAATTACTGCCATCTCTTCTCATGGACTCTTCTCACCAGGTACAAGGAACCATCTTCCCAGCTCCCAATTTCAATCCCATAATGGATGCCCAAATGCTAGGGGGAGCCCTCCAAGGATTTGGTAAGCCTGATCATTTCTATCATCTTTTATTGTAATTTGTTTATTTATTTATTTTTTGCTTTGCCTTGTTTTAAGACTGTAATATGGATGTGGCTAATGTCTAACAGAAGACAAATGGATTAGTTAAAAGCTGGGCAAAGTAGCATAAGAAGAAACATAATAGAAAAGGACAGTCATGGTGAACAGGTTTGCTTCTCTCAAGTGCAAATTTCACCTTGACATGGTGTTGCCTTAAGTTCTTAAATACCTCACCACTAACTACTAAATGAAATCCCAAACCAAAAAAATCTTCATCTAGGATAAAACATCCTTCTTCGCCCTTGTTTGTTTTCTAGCCAGTTTCTTCTGCTGCTTCCACTTCCAGGAACATCAAACTGCCTGCTGTTCCCCCAAATGGATTTGCTTTTCCAAATCTCTGTAAACTGGCCCAATAATCCCCCTGTCTGTGGTGCTATTTTCTTCTGCTGTCTACTTTGCATCCAAATTCTCTTCCTTCAAGAAGCTCTTCAAATGAACCCACCCTTTCAATCATTCATTGGGCCCTCCTAATTCAACCAGCCATTCCAGATCCTACCCACCATGCTTCTGCCTCCTGTGTCACTGACCTCAGTTTCACTGGGCTGGCCCTTTCTGTCTCCCTTGCTGAGGGCTGTGGGAGGTCCCAGAGCATGGAGTCTGGCATGCAGGTCTTTAATAAGTGGATGTTCAATGAATGAAACCAGAGCTGAGAAAAGCAATATATAAAGAAAGGAGGAAAATGGTTGGGTTCTTTTAAAAAAGGTTGAATCTTTAAGATATGATATGGCACTGTCAAACATCCATATAGTTCCGTTAAGCAAAAGCCATTTTAAGATGACTGCTGGTGAGCACAAAGATCAACAATGACAACATAAAGGAAATGTTTGCCTTAAACGTGCAAAGCCTTTCTTGAGAAAGCAAGCTCTTAACTGGAAAGACAAGGTCGCCTTTATGTGAATGTGTTCAGGCACATGTACACGTACACACACACACACACACACACGCACACACACACACACTTTATTCACTTTGTGTTTTATACACTAACAGAACCCCATAGGAAAACAATAAAGGACTTTAAACATGCTCTCTAAAGTCGACTTCAGGAGTTTACAATGCTTTCATGCCTTTTAAAATATCAACAATCTCTAGCAAAAAAATATAGAGACAAGGTACTAATAAATTATGGATTAAGTTCCTCTTCAGGAGAGAAGTTTTTGTTTTAAAACTGTAGATCAGAGCAATCTATTCACTGAAAAAAATTTTCTTTGCTGCAGTTTCAATGTCCCTATTATAATTTCAGGGACAGAATATAGATTCATTTTGACCACGATAATTTTTTTGTTTGTCAGTATCTTAGGCTGAAGAAATTCAGGAGGTTTTGGGTTTGATTGTACAGTGTACTCTCTAGGATGCCTGAGCAAGAACACAGCTCAAAATGCTTTAAAATCTATCTACCCTGATAACCCTGGTAACGTACAATTGAAAAAGACAACTGCTAATATTTTCCTTGGCAAATGTGATTTTTCCCCATCTTTATCAAGCTATAATTGACATATAACATTGTGTAAGTTTAAGTTAAGCAATGTGATTATTTGATATATGTATATATTGCAAAATGATTAATATAGTAAAGTTTAGTTAACAACCTTCACCTCAACATATTGCTATTTCTGTTGTAGTTATGGTGAGACATTTAGATTTACTCTTAGCAACTTTCAAGTATACAATACAGTATACAATACTCACCATGCTGTGCCTTAGATAGCTAGAATTTATTCCTCTTGTAACTGGAAGTTTGTACCCTTTGACCAAATTCTCCCTATTTCCCCCACCTGGACATTTCTGAGTTCAGCTTTTTCCGATTCTACATAAAAGTGAGATCATACAGCATTTGTCTTTCTCTGTCTGACCCATTTCACTTAGCAAAATGCTTTCAAGACTCATCCATATTGTCACAAATAACAGGATTTCATTCTTCTTTATGACTGAATAATATTCCAGTGTGTGTGTGTGTGTGTGTGTGTGTGTGTGTGTGTGTGTGTGTGTGTGTGTGTCATATTTTCTTTATCCATGTAGCTGATGATGGATACTTAAGGGTACCTAAGTGATTTCCATATCTTGGCAACTCTGAATATTGCTACAATGAACATGGGGAGGTAATATCTCTATAAGATAGTGATTTCATTTCATTTAAATATCCAGAAGCAGGACTGCTATATCATATGGTACTTCTATTTTTATTTTTTAAGGAATCTTTGTTGTTTTCCATAGTGGCCACACCAGTTTACATTCCCACCAACAGTGCATAAAGATTCCTCTTTTTCCACATCTCTTAACTTTTTTGATAATAGCCATTCTAACAGGTGTAAAGTGATATCTCACTGTGGTTTTGATTTTCATTTCCCTGATGATTACTGATGTTGAGTACCTTTTCATGTACCTATTGGCCATTTGTATGTCTTCTTCAGAAAAAATGTCTATTCAGGTCCTGTGCCCATTTTTAGTCAAATTATTTGGGTTTTTTGCCATTGAGTTGTATGAGATATGTATCTATTTTAGTATTAACTCCATATAAGATATACAGTTTGCAAATATTTTCTCTCATTCTGTAGATTGCTTTTACATTTCTGTTGATTATTAAAATAATAGGAAAAGAAAAAGAAGAGAAAATTCACTGATCTGTGTATAAGTCTGTCCAGAAAATGCTAAAGTAACATCTATTCTGTTATAAAGCTATGGAAAAGCAGATAAATTTATGACTTCATGGGATGATAACATGATGATGATGATGATGATGACGATAATAATAATAAAAAAATAGAATGGACTTTCTTTTGAAAGTAGTGCTGGATGGTTTGCATGTTTCAAAAGATGATATAGCATAAAAACTGTTAAACTTTCAGGTGAGAGAAGTCCTGCAGGTCAGGAGGCTACAGAAAAATACCTCCTTAAGGTGTTCTTAAAAGGTGCTTCCTAACTTTTATATAGGAAAAGCAAATGTGGAAGAGAGGATTTTCAATACTTATGAGACTGGCTTGTTTTACAAGGACATTGACAAACAAACATATATAATGTACTGGCATTTATGTTGACAAAAATGTTGTGACCAAAAGGTAGTAGAAACCGAACCCTATATTTCCCCCAGGAGCAATAGTTAAGCATTTACTAATTCAATGCTCATGGTTACTTTGTAGAAGACCACCACAAATAACAGGAATCAACAGTACATCATAAAGGTCTAAAAACTGCTATGGTTCAGGCCTGCAGAGTCATGCTGGGTAAGAGTTGGTTTGGGACGCCAGCTCTGAGCTGTAGAGCTCTGGTTCGGATCCCACATGAGGCCCAGTGACGCTGTGCCCTCTACAGCTAAGATGGTGAACAACAGCTCGACCTGGAGCTGGGCTGCCGTGAGTCGCCGGTGACCGCGTAGGCTGCAGTGAGGGTGCAGTGGGCTGCCATGGGCTACTGTGAGCGACTGGCAGTCAGCATAAGCTGCTAAGAGCCGCTGTGAGCAGCCGTCCAGTGGCTGGCGACCCATCTGCCTCACCCGGGAAGAGCACAATGATAATACCAACATGGGCCAGAGAAGCAACGTCCTCCACAACTAGACTGAAGAACAAAAGGACAGCAACTTGTCTGTTCCCCTTCCCCCAATTCCCCAACGCTTTCTCCTCCCTCAATTACCCAATAAAATCTTTAAAAAAAAATTTTAAAAATAAATAATAAAAACTGCTATGGATCATTATGCCAGAAAATACAAATTATCTACAAATTCCTGTCCTAATATAATAGGGCAAGAGACAGGAAAACATATGGTGATTCTAAAGAAGAAATTAAAATTTTTATTTATAGAGAATATCATCTATCTCGTAATACAAGGTAACTGACCAAAAAGTTATTAAAAATTATGAGTTCAATAATTTTTCTGAATATAAGGTAAACATAAAATTCAGTATCATTTATTTAAGCAATTATATGTTAAAAACAAGATAAAAATAATGTAACTTGAAGTGTCAATAGAAAGGCAAAATGAATAATTTTAGCAAAATAAAGTTCTTTGTCATTTGCAAAAGTTCTTGTCATTGGCGAAAAATCTTTACTGTTTTTTAGAAAAAAACAACACAACTAATTTGGCAGATACATAATGTTAGTGATAGAAAGGCAACTCTTCTAAATTGATTTGTAAGCTTATAGTTAATTTAAACATTTTTAAGTTTTTGAGATCCATATAAAATTTTTCTGAAATATCTCTGGAAGGATAAATGAGCAAGAATTGCAATAAACACTTTGAAAAATAAAGAGTAATTCAGAGAGGTAGGTTGTAGATAATCTCAACAGAACAATAAAAAACAGAAGACTTTAATGATTATATAAATGGGATAACAGTAAAAATAATAATGAATATAATTGAAAATTCTTCTAATTATTATTAAAATATATTAATTTTGGAATGCCCATTCTGCAGCTAACGGACTCCTCTAGAACTGCTTAGTGTCCTTTGAGCCCTGGGTACCAGGCTAGCCCCATGGTACCATGTTGCTCTACGCCTCTTCACTGGAGGTTGCTTTTATCTCACAAACCATAAAGTCAGTCTTTGGAGATGATTCTATGTCTTCCTTTTTCCATTTTACAGCTTTCAGACAATTTTTCTCACCTACAAAGAACACCCTGCTCTTCCTTTTGTTTCTCATTGGTATAGTCATCTATGTAAATCCTAGTCACTTGTCCTTGTTCACTGGATATTTCAGTACCTGACTCATAGCTTCCCTATGATCCTAAGGCCATCCAGGATGGCTTTCATTCCCAAAGATAATCTGCTTAACATCCTAGTCTTTCAATTCATGTTACTCCTCATCTCCATTAACTATCTCCTTTTGTCAAAGAAAAATTGTACCACAGAATTAAACAGGCAAGGAAGACTTTATTCAATTCTATTGCAAATAGGAATCAAGATTTTTGCAACACAGGAAAAAGATTGAACTCAACTCTTCTGAAACAAAAGATGAGAGAGTCTTTAAGCACTAGGGTGAGCTAATGGAAAACTGCTGGAGGACACTGAGGTTTGGGGACATTGATCAATGTGATTAGCCCATCTGTATTTGCTAGTTGGCACTTATGGAAGTTAGGTTTCTACCCTCCAACAGAAACTGAGAGATAGGGATTCTACATTTCTTTTTTTTTAAAGATTTTTATTGGGGAATTGCGGGGATGGGAACAGTGCTGGGGAATTGGGGGAAGGGGAACAGACAAGTTGCTGTCATTTTGTTCTTCAATCTAGTTGTGGAGGATGTTGCTTCACTGGCCCAAGTTGGCACCATCATTGCGCTCTTCTCTGGCAAGGCAGATCAGTCACCGGCTTCTGGACGGCCGCTCACTGCGGCTGCTGGCCGCTCACGCTGGCTGCTGGCTACACACGGTAGCCCATGGCAACCCACTGCCACAGGGGCTGCAGCCTACGCCGCTGCGGGCGACTCATGGCAGCCCAGCTCCAGGTTGAGCTGTTGTTCAGCATCTTAGCTGTGGAGGGCAGTGTCACTGGCCCTCATATGCGGGATCCGAACCGGGGCCCTCTGGCGTCCCAAGCCAGTTCTTAACCATCGCGCCACTCGGCCGGCCGGCCCGGGATTCTACATTTCTTGATGATTATATTTTAAAGAGATGGCTCCCAAGCACTTGGGAAAGATATTTCTGGGTTGTCAAATTGCAAGTGGTTGGGACAAGATTTAAATCTCAAAAGAGTAAAGAAAAAAAATTCACAACTGCAAGTTTTCCAAAGTGAATGCTCTCAGAAAATGGAGATCAAGAGCCTCTAGTCAAGAAGAAACCTGTCTAAATTTGAGTCAAGCTGAGGGAAATACTAAGGCTTTCTTGATCACTCTACTTTGACTACAATTACAGCTAAATTTATCTAAACTAGTTGTGCATTCAGGTGTTATATCAGTTCAATGAGTTGGTATACAAGGAAGTGGAGGCCTCACAGCCCAGAAACAGAGCTTCTATTATGAGAGAGAGGCCATGTTCCATGCAAATCAGGAAAGGTTCACCCCATCCCTGAGAAGGGTGCATATCCCTTGTACTTTCATAATTTTCTTCTCTATTTCTCTTTCTTCTTGTGGAGGTTCTGAACTACAGCAGTTATTTTTGTTTTAATGTATGTTCATTGTAAGTTATATCTTTCTCACTACAAAACAAGAAAGCTATTGTGCCCATTTAAACACTAATCAGCTTAAAGCCTTTTTTCCTTTTTTGGTGGGGTAGGAGAGGTGGTCGAAGAAAAACTATTTTTCTATGTTCCTGTAATTTTATTGGATCTTTTTACAAGAAAATCTGTAGCAATAGCACCAAAATGAGAGACAGGAAGAACCTAGGCTTAATCAAGTGTTATTCTGTAATTTCTCGTCTTAGCTAAAATTGCTCACTGCTTTAAAGTACCATCACGGATACAGCTTGCAATTGGTTTTGATCCTTAGATAATGGATTCTTCTTAACTACGGAGTAGCAACTTCACTAATCTTCAGCGATTATTCTTTTCCAGGCTGTGACAAAGACATGCTGATCAACATTCTAACTCAGCGCTGTAACGCACAAAGACTGATGATTGCTGAGGCATACCAGAGCATGTACGGCCGGGTAAGGTCTCTTCATCTTGACCTGTGTATTTCTAGGGCAAACTCCTGAGAAATGGTAACACTCTTGGAGAACAGGTACTATTCTTCTGTTCTGTCTCACAGATTACAGAGATTTTCAACCTCCCTGTATGTCAGAAACAGTTCCTGTGTCTCTAACATGCTTCAAGGAATATAAGAAAGATATACCATAAAATGTATCTAGGTGCGAGGTATGTTCATACTCACAGGGACTCTACCAGTCCTTTCCCGAAAATCATTCAGCTTCATAAAATGAGAGTTCTGCTAGCCTTACACTGCTGGTTGGTCCAATTAGGCTGAAAAAGTTGCGCTGGCAACACCCCTTGTGTCAAGCGTTAGGGAAGGAATAGAAAGAACTAATGATCACTAGGTCAAAAGTAAGATCTTTTCCTGCAATTCTCCACAGGTCCTCACCTAACTCGCAGCCAAAGTGAATTCTCTACTTGCTTTTCTTTACACAGCATGCAGTTAAATAGACCATTAAAAAAGAATGGCAGTTAAAAATAGTTTAAGGCAATAATAGTATCTATAGTGTTTTAAAGTAATCACATTCTAATTTCAAGCAAGTACCATTAAAGGTCCCTTTCATTTGTTATGCATTTAAACCACAGATTCAGAATAAAAACTCTTCAGGCCAGAAGGGCCTGAAATAGCAATTACTTTCTCAACTGAGCATTATTGATGAAACACTATCACAAAACTCTTCTCTATACAGGTAGTCCATATAAATTTATTTCATCTCTAAACGTCAGTCTCTGAACACCTATAATACATGAAATAAATCATAACTCTCTGTTGTAGAATGAATTATCCAAAAAAAAACATACCACTAGTGAAATTAGTTAAATTAAGCCATAGAAGGAAACAAATTTTACTTTTATTTTTACTTTTTTTAATACAGGTAAAACTGTTATCTTTGCTTACGTTCCTATGACACCAGTGCTAGTTTTCTTTTGAAAGAGAATGTAAAAACTATAAACGTTGTAGCATTAGTAATCTAATATTGTTTTAATATATGTAATGCTATAGGGTGATGATTTTTCAGTAAATTTTTTTTTATCAAAAGGCTTACAGATACCTTTGCTTTTTATACATCAGGTTAATTTAGGTTAAAGCACTACTTCATCAATCTTTACCATATTACACTAAAACATATTAAAACAATTAAGAAATGAAGTACTCCCACTCAAGAAATGTAAAATCCATTAAGCAATTTATACTCTATGAAGCACCGTTCACTATACACAGAAGGTCTCAAAGTTTGCTAAGCTCTCATTTTTGCTGAGTAATCCATATCACGTGGGAAAACGTGGCTACTACACTAAATTTCACCAACTGGAAGATAGGCAGTCCTGCTGACTCCTTTCTTCTGACATACCCTTGTCAGACAATCAGTTATCAAGTCTTGTAAATTATTTTCCTCTCCTATTTCTCTCTTTTGCCCTCCCTTACACAGTCCTGATTCAGGCCTTCATCATTTGCAGCCCAGACGAATGAAGGCTGAAACTCCTAGCTGGTAGCTGCTACGCCCAGCCACTCACCACTCTCGTCTGTCCATACTGTGGCCAGATTGATTCCAAACCTAAATTTCCACTCTCCCACTTTAATCCCTGAATGTTTAATCTTATCTCTCAACTCACAAATATCCATATGTCCATGGAATAAATCCAAATGCCTGCCCAGGGCATCCAGAGCCTTGCTTGCTGTGTTTCTGATCTCCATCGTAAGCCCTCTCTGCTTTCTTCACACGCTACCAACTGCAGTCAAAGGGACCTACTTATAGTTCCACAAAGTAACCCATTCCTGCTTTCTCCCCCATTTAGTCACCGTGTTTTCATCTGTCTTCAAAGGTCTGATTCTCTCTCCACATGCTGCACACTTACACATCTTCCCAGACATTGAACACTTTTCCTGACACCATTACTCCCCCCAAAGAGCGGAACAGACTTGTGCTGCATCCGCATCCTTTACGTCACTTCCCCTTGGTACCTGATGACCTACTAGAGAGCTTTTTACGTTGGTTTCCCTGTACCAGAGTCTAAATTCTTGAAAGCTGGAATGCATCTCATTCATCCCTAGAGTTGAGCACAAATGTCTGTCCCACACACTAAGATTGCTTAATTAATGTTTGTTGAATGGCAATGAGAAGGCATAGCTAAGAGAATCTCCTCCTATAACATGTAGTCAGGTTTGGGCTGTTCCAGGAAACCTTCCTCACTGGTCACACTCACCTGCTCTGGGCTAGATGCTTCCTGTTGGCTTCCCAGAGTTCCCGAGGTATGATGCTACCGTGGCCTTGCCACACTGGGTTGGGTTGGTTTCCCGTTATCTCTTGCTGACTAGACTGTAATCTGGAAAGTCAGGGACTGGGTTATTTGCTGCTGTCCCTCCAGAGATCAGTCCAGAGTCTGACATAGAAGAAGCACTTTATTTATAGAATAAGGGAACCTCAAGAATTATATTATATTTCCTTTTATTTAAAGTGAAAAGGAAAACATCTCTTTATTACCCACTTTATAGTTAAAATGAATTTCTATAAATCGCTTACATTTCTATTTTCCCTCATCCCCTGCTCTAGCTGCTCCCAGGTGAATCTGCCTGACCTTCAGGTAGGGCTTCTTGACCTCCCCTGTACTCACTCTCAGAATTACTTCTTCCATTTCACCAAGGTGTATTTCCTGCTACCTTTCCCTTTCTCTGGCAAGAGTTCACAGATTTCCTGTATCTTAATCATTGATATATTTTTTTATTAACATGGATATTCAAGATTTGACAGAATTATTTTCTTAGCTGCTGAGTAAAGCGCAATGCTAGGCCAGCTCCCTAAATACTTATTACTCGATATTTCACATTAGTGAAGAGCTGCTGAATTTCATCAACTACTGTGCCTCATCCAAAGCAGAAACTAATCCCTAAACACAAATTGGAGTGCCTGGTTGACATATTTATCAATATAATTAATGAGGTCACTCCTGATCTTCCACACCAAAAAGAAAAGAAAAAAAGTGCTATCCTATTGACAGTGCAATGAAAGCAAGGGAACAATGTAATGCTTGTGAGGCTGGGGAGAGAAACCATCTATACCTGATATGGATGGCGATTAGTGATTCCTGAAGGAGCTCAAATTCAGCATTGAAGCAATTTGTTTTCCCAGTTTTCATTTAAAACAGGGATGATCATCTCTGAAATATCCTCACATCTGGAATCCATTAACCCCGTGGGGTTGGTTATGTAATTTAGTATAGATGCTGACTTGCCCAAAATCACACAAAGTTAAAACTTGAACAAGGTTATCTGACCCTTAATCAAGTCTTCCCAAGCTTCTCAATAATGCCTGTTGTTTTCAACTGAATAAACACCAGATTTAACAAGGGCAGATAGCTACACTGCTAATTCCCTCATATCCTTCAAGGCTTTACTCAAAGTCAGCTACTCAAGAGGGCCCAATCTGACTGCCCTATTTGAAACTGTCACACACCCCAAAGCCTATGCTAGCACTCCACACCTCTCACCTACTCTTTTGCTTTTTTTCCATAACACTGATTACTTTCTAACATATTACATCATTTATTACATATTATAATTAATATTGAGTTATCCACTTCCCTCTAGAACACAAGCACCCCAAGAGGAGAAATTGTGTCCCCAGCACTTACAAGAGTGGCAGACACATAGTCGGTGCCACAGACTGAATTGTGTCCCCTCAAAATTTCTGTGTTCAAACCCTAACCCCCAATGTAACTGTTTGGAGATAGGGTGGTTAAGGAGATGATTCAGGTTAAATGAGGTCATAAGGGTGGGGCCCTAATCTGATACAACTGGTATCCTTATAAGAAGAGGAAGAGATACCAGGGGTACTGTGCACAGATTAAAGGCCATGTGAGGACACAGTAAAAACATAGCCAGCTGTAAGCCAGGAAAAGAGGCCTCGCCAGAAACCAACCCTGCTGGTACCTCGGTCTTGGACTTCCAGGCTCCAGACTGTGAGAAAACAAACAAATTTCTGTTGCTTAAACCACCCAGTCTGTAGTATTCTGTTATGGCAACCTAAGCAGACTAATACAGTTGGTATTCAATAAAGAATTGTGAACGTATGAAGAGTTCAAGTTCACTCTTCAATTCATCTTGTTCTCATAACATTTTTTTTTTCCTACCATCTCTCAGCTTCATGGTTAAAAATACTGATTTTTGAAGTATCAACATACCTAGGAGTGCTGGCCATAAAATTAACTTACCTACTTTAGAGGTAAAATTATCACATCATTAGTACCAGCAATAAGTATCATATCTTCTCCTCTATCCTCACTTTTAGTTTAGAAATGAAGGGGCAGACATAGTTTTAACCTCAAAAGCTGCATTTTATTATACAGTTGATCACAGATCAATTTTATAAGCATGAATTAAATAATTTAAAATGGTACAACTATTTTATCTTTCACATATATTATGGGTTAAATATATTCTTTTTGGTGAAACTGGGAACTTAACTACCTAAAAAAATAATAATTTCGAAAAGATTTTCTATAGAATCAATCAAGGTTTTATAGGTTTAGTAAACCCCTTGTATATGTTTATTACAGCCTGAGCAATTATTTCTCTTCGACATCACATGTACAATCTCTGCCAGAGAGGCAGGGAGGAACAGAAAACTGGAGGGAGAGAAGAAAGAAGGGAGGGAAAGAGGGAGAAAGAAAATTGATACTGCTAAATCCAGGCTCATTAAGCTTCAAAACACTCTTTAAAGCACTTTTAAAAATTTATACTCCCACATACAATATATAATGGTTCCCATTTCCCTTAAATTCTCATAAAACTTCTTAGGTTTTGACCAATCTAACAGGTGTAAATGGAATCTCGTTGTGGTTTTAACTTGCATTTACCCTAATTACATGTAATGTTGAGCACCTTTTCAAATGTTTCTTTTATATTCTGGCTCCTACTTCTTTTAAGTTAACTCTTTATACACTTTGTGTATTCTTCTTT